CCTCACGGGCCAGACTGGAAAACATCCATACACTACGCCGGACGCCCGTGAGACCATTTTGCGCCGAAATTTCTGAGTGATTTGCGCCAAAAATTAGGTGCCTATTTGTGCGAAAATCAAGCCCTTTTCATATAAAGCACATGTGCTCATATACTGATCAAGGCTATATCAACCAGGCAGAGTGTTTCGGGGCTTTGTACGCTATCCCATGTTTGAGCGTCCGAATTAGTTTTTATTTCCACGTAAACCCAATACTTCGACGGGAGCCAGCGAGGGCCCGGCAGCGGAGCAGCACGTGCTCCGGCACATCAGCCTCTTCTCGGCTCACGGTGCAGAGCGCCGCTGGGCACCGCTTGTCTGGGCACTGCTGGCACGCGGCGGAGTGGAGACAGCCGATTCGGTGCCGTATTGGAGCGAGCGGCCCCGGTGGCCCGCCCTCATCTGGTGCACCGAAATGGCATCCTCTCGGTCCTCTCCGGGGAGAGGGGAGCGGCGGCGTGCTCCCGAGGAGTGGCTTGAATAGTGATTCTGAGCAGTTGTCGCGCCACTGATGCGAGGCCGGACAATGAACCGCCCTGGTCAGCGATCGGGCGTTTGAGGGCAGGGCGGCCGCCAGTTTTGCCAGATCGTCCACGCTCTCATTCCCCTCGATACTGCAGTGGGCAGGAACCCACTGCTATTGCTTAACGACGCTTGGCGACGTTCAACAAGGTTTTCCATGCCTATCTCTACGCCGAAGGTTGAGGCCTCACCTGGGCGGCCGTTCCTCCGCTGAGTAGACTCAGGGCGGCTTGCCAGTTCGAGCACGCGACGACCGGGGCGGGGACGTGTCGTCCCGAAACCTCTCCAGAGCCGCCCGCGGGGTGAATCTGCTGCTAGATTGACCAGCGTACCGCATAAATTCGGTGACTGTCTTTCGCCAAAAATTTATGCGACCGCCCTGCACCGAAAAATTCTTCCGCCGCCATGCGCTGAATTCGGCGCATGCGAAGTTACGCCAGACGTGCGCTTAAATTTTCGGCGCAATCCCGCCACTACGCCGGACATATTCGGCATAACGTGTATTTTTCCAGTCTGGCTCACCGGTATGGATATGGCTGCTGGCAGGCTGTAGCCGGCCTTTGTCAGTAAGGGATTGGCTATGCATGGTTCTGTGCGTACATATGATTTCAGACCAAATTCTGCCCTAGCCCAGTATGCGCGCTTAGAATGTGGAGGGCATGCCAACATGTTCCTCTCAGCGGGGACTATGTCCTTGTGAACCCTTCCATTCAGAAGATTCAGAGCAAATTGATAACATAAATCCTTGGCTGGAGTGGTTGCTGGGGTGCTAAGACTTAAAATATGCGCTAATGTCAGGTGTCAGCCAGTAGCGGCGGAACACCTTCAATTAGGGGGGGGGGGGGCACTGCCGACTTTTGGTCCCAGTCCCATTCTTTCCATGCAACGCCCATAGGGCTAATGTTAAAATGCCAAAGCCAAAGGGGGGCACGGCACGGTGCCCCGGTGCCCTCCTCGTTCCGCCGCCCATGGTGTCAGCTCAAGCTACAGAGCTGCCATTCCAGCTGTTCTAAACCCCATAATAAAGGTGGTATTTCTCCTGACAGCTGAATCCTCTCCAGTGACAGCTGATCCTCGCCATCTGATCCTCCCCAAAGACAGCTGACACTCCCTGGTGGGGGATGACCTTGCCCGGTGGCTGGTGGCAGCGAACCCTTCCCAGTGATAGCTGACCTTCCCCGGTGGGAGGTCACAGCTAACCCCTCCGACGGATCACCCTCCCGGTTCTGAGCCCCGGCGTCACTGCCTCCCATTGACAGACTTTTCTGGCGGCAGCAGAAAAGTACTCCAGCCCAGCAGACTCCAGCCGAGCCGCACCCAGTGACGGCCGACGCCGAGCGGCCGGTCGGCGCTCCAGACGGGCCGCGCCGCCGGCCAGCCCACCGCCAGGCACTGCACCAGTAGCGGCCGCGCCTGCCCGGCCAGTACCCGGGCCGCGCACACTGCGGCTGACGTGCAGCCCGCCGCCGCCGCAGTCGCCGACCCACGGACGGATACACGGCCACCTACGTCCGGCTGGCCGACCAGACCACCCTGACCAGGTCTATCCGCCGACCGGAGCTGGTGCTGCTCCTCAAACACCTGCGGCCCAACACGGCATACTCAGTTCCGATGAGCGCCTGTAACCGAGCCGGCCAGGGTCCTGCCAGCTCGCCCGTCACCGCCACCACAGAGGAGGGAGTGCCGGAGGTGGCGCCGCGTCAGCTGACCTGCCGGGTCGTGTCACCCTCCTCCATCGGTCTCAGCTGCCTGTGGCTGGCCGGCGGCGCGTGCTGGCGGCGCGAGGGCCAGTTCCCGGCCGACCTGGACGTGGCCGAGTAGTGCAGTCTGCTGCCGGTCACAGTCTACCAGCTGTTGGTGAGCGCCCACAGCGCGGCCGGCACCACAGAGTCTACCACCCGGCTGGCCATCCACGCCGCAGACGGAGCAATGATATCTCCGCTGCCGCCGCCAGAAAAGTCTGTCAATGGGAGGCAGTGACGCCGGGGCTCAGAACCGGGAGGGCGATCCGTCGGAGCGGTTAGCTGTGAACTGGCCACAGCCGGGTAGAGCCCACCGTACTCCCGGGACACCTGCTGAATCGTCAGCTGACTAGTGACGTCCTTGACTCCAGAGGTGCTGTCTTGGACGTGGAACCTGCCGCCCAGCTGGTCGGCGCTGACGCCGTCCCTCGTCCAGGTGACAGCCGGCGGCGGTGACGCGGTGGCCGCACAGGTGAATGAGACCGCAGTGTCCACCACCGGCTGCACCGTCTGCTGAACCAGCGACAACAGCAGCCGAGCCGGCAACGCTCCGATCCTGACCTGGGTGGTGGCGAGGTCATCGGTCACGTGACACTGGTACATGCCGGCCACGGACGGGTTGCCGCCGGTCAGCTGCAGAGCCGGCCGGCTGGCGGCGGCGGGCAGACGGCGGCCGTCCTTGAGCCAGATGATGTCGCCGGCTGCCAGGGGCGGCGTCACGTGACAGGTCAGCAGAGCGGGCTGTCTGGTGGTCACCAGCAGCTGACTGGGTTCGATGACAGCGCGGCGTGTCACTGTCACCTCCAGTCGCGTGTTCCGCGCCGCGCTGCCCACCTCCGAGCTCGGCGATCTCGGCATACGCCCGCGTCCCCTGACCTGATCCGGCGTACCACCAGCTGCTGGCCACTGACCTCGACATGACCAGAGTGGAGCAGCGGCGTCAGCTCAGCGCCACGCACCTGTTGTTGTTGTTGTTGTTGTGGTTCCCTCCAGCCGCGTTACCGCGGTGTAGCCGTGCGGCTCTGGAGGTCCCTCACGGCGGCCGCCAGGGCCGCCACCTCTCCGTCGTCGCAGACGTCTTCCGGGCTCGGGAAAATCGTCCCGTACCTCCGGAGACGCCAGCCCATGAGGGCTGGGCATGCTGGGCGGCTGACGCTGCGGGCCACCGTGCGCAGCGTCACACACTGGCGGTGTGGTAGGTGACATCCCATCGTCGCCGCGTCCCATCTCAGAGTGTAAAACATAGTGTTATGCCACTATTATTGATGCTCATTGCTCAGTACGATACAGATAATGGCATATAGATAGCATCATCAACTAGGAAAGCATTATAATTAGTCACCTGTCTTGTGCTCTGTCGACGATTGATCGTGCCACACAGTACAGTCAGTCTTTAAAAGTACCGCCGTATCGGTGCGGTGGATTTCCGACGGAGGAAAGGCTGTTTGATTTTAGAGTAGCCGGACCAGTGGACCTGGGGATGGATAAAGGCTCACTTTGGCTCAGTGACTCTCAACTTTAGCAGCCTTTCCTCGATCGGGCTTGATGGATCCACCGCACCGATGCGCGGTGCTTGGGATGTACATACAGTACATTGGCAAAAGCGTGTAGATACTATTGAGCAGCCTGAACGCCTAAAGAGACCCTCCCACCTTCAAAAAAGTTAATGAATTGGCATAAAAGTGATGTCCAATGGATGAGAGTGAGCAAAAAGGAATATCTACTGGTGTACATTAATTTCCATCGAAAAATATTCAATGTTTTTTTATAGATATTACACTTATTATTTATTTCCCGGGGCCTACGCTGTTCATACGAAGTCATTGGGAAACAGTTATTTGGTATTTTAAAAGTGCGACCGATGTTGCGCGCAAAGTAGCATATACCACCACTGCTTCTTGAAGATGTTAGGATGTACAAAACTATGGTCCTTTTAAAGAAGATAATGTATTTTACTTGACGAGAATGCTGCAAAAATTCCTCCAATAATAATAACCGGTAATCACTTCTATGATATACGTATGAAGGTACCTATTTTGCAACTGTGTCAAAGCACAAAAGAACAGCATTCTGACAGCTCACTGTGTTATGTTGAAATGGCAAGTTTGGTTAAACTTGGTCAGTGCTGAACTTTGATTTTAATTGCTAATTGTTTTTTCATTTCAGAGTGTTAATGGAAACAGACGACGCTGAGCTGGGGCCGGACGCAGCAGGCGACGGACGCTGTAGTGTGCTGGGCAAAATAGTCCAAGATGCTGGTAGCGGGTGAAATACGCAGCTGCTCGTCGTCTCCAAGAGCGCCGCGGACGCCGTGGACTGCGCCATCAAAGTCGACGGAAAGTCGGTTCCAGCAGCCGACCGTCTCAAACTACTCGGAGCTGTTGTGTTCGGGTATAGGGGGTGTAGACTTGGACCGCCTCTGCGGCCCCACCTCTGTGTGCCTGGGAGCGCCCCTGCCGGCGCTCAGCTGTCCGTGCGCGCCAAGCGGCGTGAGTGGCGCACGGGACGAAAACTGACGCTCGCCATACTTGTTTAGTTTTTGGAAGACTCTCTCGGCCCATTCGCACCGGCAGTAAATAAATCGCGTTTCTCTTAAGCTCTCTCTCACTCGAACCGTGAATTACGAACATAACATGGCGCGGTCAGTAGATGGTTCCGTGCGAGTGATTAGTGTATAGCGCGCCGTGATCTGTGACGATGAGTGACATTGAGAAACTGACGCAGCTGCTCCTGCAGCAGGCGGAGCTGTCGGCGCAGCGGGAGCGAGACTCAGCGCAGCGCGAGGAGCGGCTCACTCAGATGGTGGAGCGACTGTCGCCGACCGACAGCCACCCGCTACCGTCGCTGCCGACGATGCCTCGGCGGCGACAGCCGCCCGGACGTCGGCTGCCGCCCCGCCCGTGCGCCTGCCTGCTGCTGCAACGCCGGCGCCTCAGCTGTCGTCCTCCACATCCCTGCGCGACTTCGCTGTATGGAGGGAGAAGCTGGACGGGTACATGCTTCTGACCGGCGCGTCCGCGCTGCCCGTCACTGCCCAGAGAGCTGCCCTTCTCAGTCTTCTCGACGAAGATTGGCACCGGGTGCTGCGCTATGGACTGACGATAGCGGACGACTCTCCCCTCTCCGCGGTGGTAGACGCAATGGAGAGTCATCTCCGTAAGCAGCGCAGTGTCCTGGTCGACCGCCGTGCGTTCTACGCCCGTGTCCAGGAGCAGGGCGAGAATTTTGAGGAGTTTCTGTGCGAAGTGAAGGAGCTCGCGGCATTTTGCGACTTTTGCACACACTGTTACGACTCACGCCTGCGTGACAAGATTGTGTGTGGCCTGCGGGACGAGGAGACGGTGAAGCGTCTGTTGGAGGATCCGGGGCTGGACCTCAAGAAGACGGTGGACATCTGCCGTGCGTCAGAGAACGCCCGGGCTACCTGCTCCGACCTCCGCTCACCGACGGCGTCAGTGAGCCGTCTGTCGGCATACCGCCGTTCAAGGTCGCGCGATGCGCGCCCCGCGGCCCAACCCGGCGGGCGTTCCGCGGGTACGGCCGGCGTGCGCCGCCCCCAGGCGCGCCCCGCGGCCCAACCTGGCGGGCGCTCCGCGGGCGCGGCCGGCGCGCGCTGCTGCCGCTGCGGGCGGGCCGCCCACGCAGACCCGGCGGCGTGCCGCGCTACTAGCGCCATCTGCAACTCGTGTGGCCAGCGCGGCCACTTTGCAGTGGTGTGCGCCCAGGTGGCGCGCGAGAGCGCCGCTGCCCCCGCCGAGCGCGCAGCACCGGAGCGCGCGCGGCCCGCGGTGAGGCAGCCGTCAGAGCCGCGCATCTGCTGTGTCATCAGAGACGTCTACGTGAACGGCATCTCGACGCGGCCGACTCCCACTGTGACTGTCCGACTGTCTACGCCGGCTGGTGTGTTCACCGTGCCGGCCCGGGCCGACTCCGGCGCCGAGGCGACAGTCATCGGAGAAGACAGCCTGTCTTCCATCTGCGTGGAACCAGCGCAGTTGGAGCCCTGCATCGGCCAGCCATTTTCAGCAGTAGGGAAACAGCCGCTCACCTGTGTCGGGTCGTTCCGGGCTACTCTGGAGCTGGGCGACCGATCGACCACCGCTGCCGTGTTCGTCATCAGGGAGCTGACTGGCCTGCTACTCAGCTGGTTCGACTGTGTGGCGCTGGGGATTCTGCCGAGGGATTTTCCGGCACAGATCCGGTCCGTCGAGGACGCACCGCGCCCTGCTGATGACGTCACGGCCTCTGTTGACGTCACATCCGCTGGTGACGTCACACCCTCTAATGACGTCACACCGTCTGCACCGCCGGCCGCTGCCGGCTCCGCTCGTAGCGCCAGCGGCCGCTCGGCCCCGTATGAGGCGCCGCGTGACAGGCCCTGTCCGGCCACCGGGACCGAGACGGGCGCGCCGGCGCCGCCGGCCGATGGACCCGGCCCGGCCGCCGGCCTCAGCGGTCCGCTGCCGGCCTGGGACAGCGACTCAGACCCACCGGAGGCGGTCCGTGCAGCTCATGCAGCCGCTCTGGTGGAGTGTTTCCCGCGTGTGTTCGGGCAAGATTCGACTCTTCGAGTCATGGACGGCGGTCCGATGACGATCGAACTCCGGCCCGACGCGTGTCCGACGTCGGTCACCGCTGCGAGACCGATCCCCTTCGCCTGGCGTGCCGAGGTAAAGGCGCAGCTGGACGACCTGCTGGACCGCGGCGTCATCGTCCCTGTGGACTACCCGACGGAATGGTGCCATCCCATTTCGTGCGTGCCGAAGAACCCGTCCGGGTTTCGACTCTGCGTGGACCTGACGGGACTCAACCGGTACGTGAATCGACCCACGTACCCCTGCCGGTCTCCTCACGATGCCGTGACGAGTCTGCCCGCCGGGCACCGGTGGATGTCGACTCTGGACGCCAAGATGGGCTACTTCCAGGTGCCGCTCGCTGAGTCAAGTCAGGACCTCACCTGCTTCATCACGCCGTGGGGCAGGTTCAAGTTCGTCCGCTGTCCGATGGGATGCAGTGCGTCTGGAGACGAGTACAACCGGCGCGGCGATGCCGCGCTCGGCGACATCCCAAACTGTGTCAAGATTGTCGACGACATCCTGGCCGTGGCACAGACGTACCGGCAGCACCTGCAGCAGGTGATCGAAATCCTCCGGCGCTGTGACGACCGAGGAATCACGCTGAACCCGCTGAAGTTCAAGTTCGCCCAGAATGAGGTCAAATTCTGCGGCTACAAGATCACCCCGGCCGGCTACACCACCGACAATGAAAAGGCGCGCGCCATCGCTGATTTCCCGAGACCGGAGAACGTCACCGACCTGCGGTCCTTCATGGGTCTGGTGAATCAGCTGAGCGGCCTCACACCGGAGCTGGCTGGCTCGACTCAGGCCTTCAGAGACCTCCTCAAGTCGCGCCGGGTCTGGCGCTGGACTGAGCAGCACGAGGCAGCGTTTCTGCACACCAAGATTGTGCTGTCGTCACCGCCGGTGATGGCATTCTTCGACCCCCAGCTGCCGACCGTGCTACAGACGGACGCTGCTAAAACCCGAGGACTGGGTTTTGCACTGCTCCAGAGGCACGGAGAGGACTGGCGTGTGGTCCAGTATGGTTCACGGTTCCTGACCGATACCGAGAGCCGATATGCTGTAATCGAGCTGGAGCTGGCTGCTGTACTCTGGGCCTGCAAGAAGTGCCATGTCTACCTGGCTGGCATGCCCCACTTCGACCTGGTGGTCGACCACCGACCGCTGGTGACCATCCTAAACTACAAGCAGCTCAACTCGATCGACAACCCGCGTCTGCAGCGGATGAGAGAGAAGTTGTTGGCCTACAGCTTCACCACCAGCTGGCAGAAGGGATCGAGTCACGTGATCCCAGACGCGCTCTCGCGAGCGCCCACCAGCGACCCCGCTGCACGCCAGCGTCATTGCCGCGCTGCAGGCCTCCGCTCGATCGGAGGAGGGCGCCCAGCTGGCTCCGCTGGTCGACTCCACACTGGAGAGAGTCCGCGCCGCCGCGGAGCGCGACACCGAGTACCAGACTCTCAGCGAGCTGATCCTGGCCGGATTCCCAGAGAACCGGCACGAGACGCCCCCTGCAGTACGAGCGTACTGGGGCGTGCGCCATCAGCTGGCCATCGACGACGGACTGGTGGTCTACGGCGCTCGACTGGTCATCCCGTCCGCCCTCCGACGCGGTGTGCTGGAGAAACTCCACGAGTCACACCAGGGCGTTGATAGGACCAAGCGCCGTGCTCGGCTCAGTGTGTACTGGCCGGGCATCGACAAGCAGATTGCTGACACTGTCGCCGCCTGCGCTCAGTGCCGTCAGCGCCTGCCCAGCCACGCCCGGGAGCCGATGTGGCAGGAGGACGGCGCACCGACACGCGTCTTCGAGTCGGTCTCGGCCGACTACTTCTCCGCTGGAGGACGCACGTACCTGGTGTATGTGGACCGCCTGTCCGGGTGGCCGTACGTCACTGTGTGTCCCCGCACCGCCTCGGCGGACCATCTGACGCGGCAGCTCCGACTGATGTTCTCGCAGACGGGCGTCCCGACCGTGTTCCGGTCAGACGGCGGACCCCAGTTTGCATCAGGCACGCTCCGCCGGTTCCTCCAGCGCTGGGACGTACGGCATGAGATGTCGTCACCGCACTACCCGCGCGCTAACGGGCACGCGGAGGCCTGCGTGAAGACAGCGAAGAAGCTGGTGCTGGCTGCGTCCTCATCGGGCCGGCTCGACCAGGACCAACTGGACCGAAGTCTGCTCGAACTCCGTAACACGCCCCGAGCAGACGGACGGTCGCCGGCACAGGTGCTGTTTGGTCACCCGCTTCGCTCTGGTGTTCCCACGCACCACCGCGCCTTCGCTCCTGAGTGGCAGCGAGCAGCCGCTGTCTGTGAAGAAAAGGCTGCCGAGCTCCAGGAGCAGGTGGTCAGACGCTACGACGAGAGCACGCGCCGGCTGTCACCGCTCAAGATCGGCAGCCGGGTCGACCTTCAAGACCCCGCCACCGGCCGATGGAACCGGATCGGAGTGATCGTGGGCGTCGGTCAGAGGCGCACGTACCTCGTCAAGACCGCCAGTGGCAGGGTCCTGTGGCGGAACCGCCGCTACCTGCGCCCATACCGGCCCCTTCTGACAGAGCCCACCCCGCCTGTGGCTCCGTCCGCCCCGCGCGCGCCCCAGCGGCCGCCGCCGCCGCCAGAGAGCACCGCGGTCGCCGCCGAGCGGGCGGTCCGACCCGCTGCTAGTGCGCCGGTTGTGTGCCGCTCGCCGCCGGTGCGGTCACCCGAGGTGGAGACGGCCGCCGCCGCTCTCCCGCGTCGTCCTCGACGGCAGCGCCGCGCTCCTGGTCGGCTCCGAGTTCAATGGGGTGCGACCTCGTATGAGGAGTGATTGTGAGACAACGTCGTGGAGTGTCGTGTTTTTGTGTGTTTTTGACGACTGTTGTCTCGAGGGGGGATGTTGTGTTCGGGTATAGGGGGTGTAGACTTGGACCGCCTCTGCGGCCCCACCTCTGTGTGCCTGGGAGCGCCCCTGCCGGCGCTCAGCTGTCCGTGCGCGCCAAGCGGCGTGAGTGGCGCACGGGACGAAAACTGACGCTCGCCATACTTGTTTAGTTTTTGGAAGACTCTCTCGGCCCATTCGCACCGGCAGTAAATAAATCGCGTTTCTCTTAAGCTCTCTCTCACTCGAACCGTGAATTACGAACATAACAGGAGCCACCCCCTCAACCTGCTCCTTCACGTCGGGGCCCATTGCCGCAGTCTCCGCTCCCGAGTGTGCCCCGGATCCAGCAGCTTCGCAAGCTGACAGCGCGGGGCTGGGGACTAGAGGAACGACAGCTCTGCGCTGTAGCGTCTGGATACGTCCGTGGAGTGCTGGTGCACGCGGCCGCCACCTGGCTCCTGGTGACGCCACAATCCCACGTGGAACTTCTCCAGAGGGAGATGCAGGCGGTTACCCGTATATCACCGGCTGCCCCTTGTTTACCCCAGCCCACGCAGTGATGGCGGAGGCCGAACTGATGCCGGTGCCCGCTGGCCGCCCGGCGAGACGTGCTGGTAGCGAAGCTCTTCGCCAAGGCGCACGCGCTCCCCGAGGGCAAGCCCTCAGGACTATCGCGGAAGATGGGCCGCCCAGCCGACTGAAGTCGGTGACGGGCTGGCGTGGGGTGGGGCACGAAACCTGGCGAGCGGCTGGGATCGCCCTGCTGCTCGACCCCCTGGTTGCATGCCAGCGCGCCGCCGTGGGAGGTGGCCGCCTTCCCAGACTTCACCTTCAGGCTGGACATCGGGACACTGCAGCGCGACGCCTCGGCTGATGAACTACACCTGGCGGCACAGCGACACTTGGCCACCCTCCCCAGCAAGCCATCAGGGTATGAACTGACGCATCGGCGGAAGCGGGAGTCCGCAGCGGAGAAGCCTTCGTGGAGTGTACACGGGTGTGGGAAATGAATGCTAAGTGTATCCAAATTGAAGGCACTGCTCTCGAAGGATATAAATACTGAACAGCTTTGGATTGTTTGTATTCCAAATGTTTACTTTCAGGACGAGTACTCCTTGTCATTCGGTCGTCAACTCCTCTCTCCGACGCCGGCTTAGCGCAGGCACGTATAACCTAAAATTTGGCCGGGGGGGGGGGGGGGGAGCGGAGGAATCCCGTAGAGAGAGCCTCCTACCTACAGAGGGCCCTCTACCCGAGGAGTCAGAGGTGGTCAGACACAGACACTAGCGGCTATTCACAGGAGGCCCCATGTAGTAAATTGAATGACCCCAGGTGGCAGGCGAGTCGGAGAGCCTTGATTGTCCTGACGTGATTTTTTGGGGATTCCCATGAATTTCGTTCGTCTCCGACGTGATTTTGGCCAACGTGGGCCTTCTGCCAGCATGGGCCCTGAAAACCCCTAGGGGGCCGGGGGAGGCGCACCCCGTCCGTCCCCCCTTGGGTACCTACGTCCCCGGTCGGTCCAGCGGCTCCACACGCGCCTACCGACACACAAGAAACTCTTGCCATTATGTTTGCTTCTGACGCAATCATGACAGAATTACGCTCTATTGATATGCATGCTGCCATTGCTTTGGAGTCGGTCTTTTGAATTTCTGCGTTTTTTTTTCGGATCGGCTCCACTCTCCAGACAGCTGGCTCAGCCTGATCGACCAGAGCGATGCGACACCTATACCAACTTGATACCAACCTACTTGGCGGGGTGGTGAATTCATGAAATGCGAATGCGAAACATGGCAATAGATGGCGGAACGAACAGCATGGGGAAGGCTGGAGTGGGACACGCATTGAGAAATGAAATCCGTCACTTCCCAGATTTCGAACGCATCCTTAGAGTGCATTACTTTTATGTGCTTGCGTTCGGTCTTGGGATTTCTCAGCAGATGTCGCCAACAGCAGAGAGATTGATCTAGAATGTCTCGTTATCGGAAAAGTATGGTAGCTATACGCCAAATGGTTTTTGCGTATAGTTACCATATTACTTCCGATATGACTGTTGACATTACTGCGGATATGACCGAGCAGTGCATTGGCAATATGCCAAGGGCAGTAACATGCCGTCACTCACGTCAGTCATCGGCCTTGGCTATCTGTAAGAATCTTGGCAGGAATCTTGGCCTTTTCTTGGACCCATAGCGTCGGCCTTCGACCAATCATATCGCCGAATTCGCAGGCAGTGAGAGACAAATACGGCGTGCCGAAGACATACCTATTGGGTGTCTCAAAATCACTGAGAACTCTATAGCTCAAAATTTAAGCCCTGCACTTTTTTAGATCTACCCCGTTGAGTGGCATTTTTGTGAAAATTATGTAAATATACCGGGTGGCCCAGAAAAAACGTTCCCAACTTTAAATCAATATTTCTCAGAAAGTGATAAAGATACAACATTGAAACTTCGAATAGTCAATGCGGCACACATTTTCAGTAAATGGTGTGATTTTCATGGTGTTCGGTAAATTACCTTTTAAACGGTTCGTGTTTCAAACATGCCATGTAAAAATTACTTTTTTGCTCCGATGTTTACTAAATAATGTGAGTGAACGGGTCACTTTCACCCCGCGGCACCGCAGCCTAGAGCCATGACTTCTACTGGCAGCTAGTCTCATTGATCGGGTCTCAGGATGACACATTCCCTCAGGCAACCACGATGGCTCTGTGCCAGCGGCATCGGAAGAAGTTTCCAGTTTTCTAACCATCTTGTGGCTCAAATGCTTTCCTGGCTGACATTCCTGAGAAAAGGTAGCTTTTCAACCAGTTTTTTTTTTGTCATCTGCTGGCAATGTTGTTTTTCATAAGCTTTTCTGTGGCTTTCTGGCATAGGAGCCAGTCTGCTTTAGTTTGCTTTCCTTATCCGGTCGTTTTATTGTTCGATCTACTGAGAGGAGGGTAATCAGCAGTAATCCATGCACCGTGCCACTCCTGCTCGAAACATGATTTGGTGTTGAAACGAATGGCATCCATGAGCACCATTTTGGCTCAGTATTTGAATATTTGGCACATAAGTGAGACAAAAATATTTAAAATAAGAACATACGTGTTGGTTTCATTCACGTGCTCTATTTTTATTCTTTTTTTATAACATGGGACGTCTAACCCAATCATTACTATCGTTTGACATCGGCAAAAAAAGCAAAAACGTCTTGCTTAATTCAACTCAAGATTGCCAGCTTGAAAATTATGGTGTAGTGTTATAATTTGGCATACCAATGCGCAAAGAAATGACGCAAACTTGATGAAAATTTTGGCTCGTTATTTGCACTTGGATTTGATATATAGGCCTCCAAAGTTCGGAACGTTTTTTCTGGGCCACCCGGTATTTATCAGAATAAGGGAGAAGTGTAGGGGGCGGCGGGTGAGGTGCAGAAGAAGAATAAGAAGAAGTTGTACCTATCCAGTAATTTTATCTTGATTTGTGGATTAGACGAAGACTAGATTTTGATAAAGAAATCGACAAACTTGAACTGCAGGTAAGGTGTTGGTTTGTCATGCCGATTGTCTTGAAACCTGTTCCTTTTAAACCTGGGCTTCACCATTTATGCTCCATATGTGAATTAGCCTTGAGGCAAAATAATCCGGCAGGTGGCTATTTTCTGTTTGTAAAACTGGCCTCAGATGGAGTGCTATCATTTGATCAACCATCACATGATCAGGCAGCAACAAAGTTTGTGGTTTTAGAATCTTGAAAAACTTTCTTGGGAGTGGCACTTGGTAGACATCTGTTTGAGATTCTGCTAGAGCAATAGCGTCGTGCTCAAGCCAGCCAAATTTTAGACTGCCAATTCACAAGAAAAAATGCTTGGTTAATCAGATTTCAGCCTATTAGGTAAGGCATCAATAGGCATTTAATTCAATTCTGGTGGTAAAAATCATGACCATATATTGGCATATCATCAATTTTTAATTTGTTGTGGCACACCTTGTTGTATATTGAGGCTTGAAGATGCTCAAGTAAATATTTTTGATGCGTGTGTTGATGAAGGCTAAAGTCCAATGAAAATAAAAAGCAGAAATTATCCTGACCTTCCCTTCCCTACTAACCTCCAACCTCCAACCTATCAGCCTACAAACCACCGTTCAGACTTTATCTACACGCAGGTTTAACATTTTATGATAAAGTAAAAAATGCTCAGCTTGTAATCCAATGCCTTTCAAAACCAATAGGCCTTTTTGGCCTTGCGAATGGTTAACGGAGAGAGAGAGTTACCTAACTCTATCATGTAAAAGCTGCTTTGAGAAAATAGCACTGTGTTTTATCCTGGCTTCATGACTCTCTAACGCTCTTTCAAACACATGGTTGTTTTCTGACAATTGGTGATACAGAGAGGGTCTGCATTAATGTCCAAGTATGGTCATTTAGGATCAATTTTTGGTGCCCTCGTTTTATATTATTCCAGCACTCCAGCAGCCTTACCCCGCGTTCGATGTCTCTCGGATGACGAAGATTCTACGTCGTCCAGCCAATCCCGTCCAAGGTCAGCTGGGGCTCGGCTGTGGTTATGAAACGTGATTGGCCGGACGGCGTAGAATCTTTGCCGTCCGGGAGACATCGAACGCGGGGTTAGTCTCCCCAACTGACATGCGCTGAATTTGTCGCATGTAACTTTACACCTGACGTGCGCCGAAATTTTAGGTGGAACCCTGCCACTACGCCAAATATAAGTTATGGCATGATCACTGCTCAGTTGCGCAGGTTCACCAGAACAGCGTCATGGGTGCAAAATGACCACCGTAGCGCCCGTAAACCCTAATAAACAAAGAAGCAAACATCAGTTGCGCAGTTAATGCCAATTTTCACAATTTTGATTGTCCATTGATATTGTTTGGTCATTTCAGGACTCGTGGCGCTGCTCGCCTCCTCGCCAATGCGAACGCGTTCTCTGAGGACAACCCGCCCAAGGCTAGTATGGCGAAGCCACGCCACCGCGCCGGCTATAGACTCACGGCCTGAAGCGAGTTTGGGCGCGACGGCTGGCGAGCCAAGGCGGCGGAAAGTCGTCTGGCGGAGCTCCCGTCTGAGGCGAGCTTGATCTGGTCAGACAGCTCCGCCACCGATGGTGTGCTAGATGGAGGAGGAGGGGCCACCCCCCCCCCCCCTGAACCGCGACATCCGGGAGGTGCGTGTCGCGGCAGGCGCCCTCTGCTCTAGCACGCGCGGCGAGCTATTCGCCCTAAGAGCGGTGTTGGAGGAGCTGTTGACCAAGACTGGTCGCGACACCTCTCTTCCGATAATTATCGTCTGTACCCACTCGATGGCGGCGCTGGCCCTCCTGCGGAGCGGCGCGGCGGCCCAGAGAGCCCCTCTGGCCGCAGACATATGGGGGCTGCTGGCAGCGCTCACCGAGGGGGCCATCCAGTGATAATGCAGTGGGTTCCTGCACACTGCGGGCTTCCGGGCAACGAGCGGATGGACGCCCTCGCGCGCGAGGCTGGCGCCCTATCCCAACGGTAGCGC